CTTTGTTACTTAACCTTGTCTGTTTTGTCTTTTGTACTTAACCCTGTCTGTCTTGTCTCTGTTACTTAACCCTGTCTGTTTTGTCTCTGTTACTTAACCCTGTCTGTCTTGTCTTTGTTACTAAACCTTGTCTGTTTTGTCTCTGTTACTTAACTTTGTTTGTCTTGTCTTTGTTACTTAACCTTGTCTGTCTTGTCTCTGTTACTTAACCCTGTCTGTCTTCTCTTTGTTACTTAACCCTGTCTGTCTTGTCTCTGTTACTTAACTTTGTTTGTCTTGTCTCTGTTACTTAAACCTGTCTGTCGTGTCTCTATTACTTAACCCTGTCTGTCTTGTCTTTGTTACTAAACCTTGTCTGTCTTGTCTCTGTTACTTAACCCTGTCTGTCTTGTCTTTGTTACTTAACCCTGTCTGTTTTGTCTCTGTTACTTAACCCTGTCTGTTTTGTCTCTGTTTCTTAACCCTGTCTGTCTTGTTTGTTTTTGATGATTTTTAGCATACCTGCCTGAACACATTTAATAATATATAGTATATAAGATTAAATGTGTGATGCATCCATTATAAAACAGAAATCTGTTTTTATTTCCTGATTCTAATTATAGATAAGTGAGTGTCAGAAAATAAATTTTTGTTTTTTATTTTTTAGTGTAATCATGTTGTGGAAAGTGAAACACGTTTGAAAAGGCTACATCTCTTATACTGAAAATAAATTGCTAATGAGATGTAAAATGTATCCATTTATATATCATTAGAGTTTGGTAAGGTATAGATAGTGATATTTCGGTGAGAAAAAATATGAACAAGAGGCCAATGGGATAAGGTAAACTAAAACCACCAAGGACAGTTCCGTTCAACAGTACTGGCCTTAATATATAGTACGCTGTCACAACTGTTGATCAAGTTACCACTACGCTGATAACACAGGTATGTGTGTATTTACAGTGTATATCATTATGACAGGGAAAATTATCTGTGTAACTTTCACCAATGCTAATGTGTTTTTTTATTTCTAGTGTCCCTTGAAAGTTGTCACATGGTATTTTGTTTTTGTCCCCATACTGTGTCTCATGGCATTTTGTTTTTGTACCCATACTGTGTCTCATGGTAATTTGTTTTTGTCCCCATACTGTGTCTCATGGCATTTTGTTTTTGTCTTTATACTGTGTCTCATGGTATTTTGTTTTTGTCCCCATACTGTGTCTCATGGTAATTTGTTTTTGTTCCCATACTGTGTCTCATGGCATTTTGTTTTTGTCTTTATACTGTGTCTCATGGTATTTTGTTTTTGTTCCCATACTGTGTCTCATGGCATTTTGTTTTTGTTCCCATACTGTGTCTCATGGCATTTTGTTTTTGTCCCCATACTGTGTCTCATGGCATTTTGTTTTTGTCCCCATACTGTGTCTCATGGTATTTTGTTTTTGTCCCCATACTGTGTCTCATGGTATTTTGTTTTTGTCCCCATACTGTGTCTCATGGTATTTTGTTTTTGTTCCCATACTGTGTCTCATGGCATTTTGTTTTTGTCCCCATGCTGTGTCTCATGGCATTTTGTTTTTGTACCCATACTGTGTCTCATGGCATTTTGTTTTTGTACCCATACTGTGTCTCATGGCATTTTGTTTTTGTCCCCATACTGTGTCTCATGGCATTTTGTTTTTGTCCCCATACTGTGTCTCATGGCATTTTGTTTTTGTCCCCATACTGTGTCTCATGGCATTTTGTTTTTGTCCCCATACTGTGTCTCATGGTATTTTGTTTTTGTCCCCATATTGTGTCTCATGGTATTTTGATTTGTCCCCATACTGTATCTCATGGTATTTTGTTTTTGTCCCCATACTGTGTCTCATGGCATTTTGTTTTTGTACCCATACTGTGTCTCATGGCATTTTGTTTTTGTCCCCATACTGTGTCTCATGGCATTTTGTTTTTGTCCCCATACTGTGTCTCATGGCATTTTGTTTTTGTACCCATGCTGTGTCTCATGGTGATTTTTTTTTGTACCCATACTGTGTCTCATGGCATTTTGTTTTTGTACCCATACTGTGTCTCATGGTGATTTTGTTTTTGTACCCATACTGTGTCTCATGGTATTTTGTTTTTGTTCCCATACTGTGTCTCATGGCATTTTGTTTTTGTACCCATACTGTGTCTCATGGTATTTTGTTTTGTCCCCATACTGTGTCTCATGGCATTTTGTTTTTGTACCCATACTGTGTCTCATGGTATTTTGTTTTTGTTCCCATACTGTGTCTCATGGCATTTTGTTTTTGTCCCCATACTGTGTCTCATGGTATTTTGTTTTTGTTCCCATACTGTGTCTCATGGCATTTTGTTTTTGTCCCTATACTGTGTCTCATGGCATTTTGTTTTTGTCTTTATACTGTGTCTCATGGTATTTTGTTTTTGTCCCCATACTGTTTGTCATGGTATTTTGTTTTTGTCCCCATACTGTGTCTCATGGCATTTTGTTTTTGTTCCCATACTGTGTCTCATGGCATTTTGTTTTTGTCCCCATACTGTGTCTCATGGCATTTTGTTTTTGTCCCCATACTGTGTCTCATGGCATTTTGTTTTTGTCTTTATACTGTGTCTCATGGTATTTTGTTTTTGTCCCCATACTGTGTCTCATGGTAATTTGTTTTTGTTCCCATACTGTGTCTCATGGCATTTTGTTTTTGTCTTTATACTGTTTGTCATGGTATTTTGTTTTTGTCCCCATACTGTGTCTCATGGTAATTTGTTTTTGTTCCCATACTGTGTCGCATGGCATTTTGTTTTTGTCTTTATACTGTGTCTCATGGTATTTTGTTTTTGTCCCCATACTGGGTCTCATGACATTTTGTTTTTGTTCCCATACTGTGTCTCATGGCATTTTGTTTTTGTTCCCATACTGTGTCTCATGGCATTTTGTTTTTGTTCCCATACTGTGTCTCATGGCATTTTGTTTTTGTCTTTATACTGTGTCTCATGGTATTTTGTTTTTGTCCCCATACTGTGTCTCATGGTATTTTGTTTTTGTCCGAATATTGTGTCTCATGGCATTTTGTTTTTGTCCCCATGCTGTGTCTCATGGCATTTTGTTTTTGTACCCATACTGTGTCTCATGGCATTTTGTTTTTGTACCCATACTGTGTCTCATGGCATTTTGTTTTTGTCCCCATACTGTGTCTCATGGCATTTTGTTTTTGTCCCCATACTGTGTCTCATGGCATTTTGTTTTTGTCCCCATACTGTGTCTCATGGCATTTTGTTTTTGTCCCCATACTGTGTCTCATGGTATTTTGTTTTTGTCCCCATATTGTGTCTCATGGTATTTTGTTTTTGTCCCCATACTGTATCTCATGGTATTTTGTTTTTGTCCCCATACTGTGTCTCATGGCATTTTGTTTTTGTACCCATACTGTGTCTCATGGCATTTTGTTTTTGTCCCCATACTGTGTCTCATGGCATTTTGTTTTTGTCCCCATACTGTGTCTCATGGCATTTTGTTTTTGTACCCATGCTGTGTCTCATGGCATTTTGTTTTTGTACCCATACTGTGTCTCATGGTGATTTTGTTTTTGTACCCATACTGTGTCTCATGGTATTTTGTTTTTGTCCCCATACTGTGTCTCCTGGAATTTAGTTTTCGTCTCCATACTGTGTCTCATGGTATTTTGTTTTTGTCCCCATACTGTGTCTCATGGTATTTTGTTTTTGTCCCCATACTGTGTCTCATGGCATTTTGTTTTTGTCCCCATACTGTGTCTCATGGCATTTTGTTTTTGTCCCCATACTGTGTCTCATGGCATTTTGTTTTTGTCCCCATACTGTGTCTCATGGCATTTTGTTTTTGTACCCATACTGTGTCTCATGGCATTTTGTTTTTGTCCCCATACTGTGTCTCATGGTGATATGGTTTTTGTCCACGTAACATTGTCCTGTGATATTTTTGTTTTGTGGTAATTCATTTGTGTCCCTATACAGTTGCCTCAAAGTAGATTTGTCTTTGTATGGTTGGCTCATGGGGACACTTTACTTTGGAGCTAGAAGTTTCTTAGTTCATATGTCAAATGTGGGAATAAATTATTGGGTGATGTTTATACAAAATACAGTCAAATGATGTAGGAAAGATATTGATTGATATGAACAAACACGTGTTCATGTCATAGATTGTCAGTTAGTTATGGTTTATAAAAGTGGGTATATGCATCAATGACTTGTAATATTATCAAGAATTTGTGCACCACCTCTCTGACCTAGCTAATTGACTAATGAATATAGATGAAGCCATTTGGTTTCATATTTGTTCCCATATCTCAATGTCCTGTTGGCTTGTCAAAACTTCCTTTGTATACATGTATATATACATGGAAACTGATATTATTTACCAAAAGCTGTCCTCGAGACTCCAGAGGTTATGATCACTTTTGCCCTCTGCAACCCTGGTATTGAAATGGCTTTGAAGTTGAGTGTTGCTCCTTTGTAATCTTCAAAAAGAACACATCAATCTGTTATTCAGCCAGGTTTTTCTCCTGGAAACAATGAAATTGCTTTGATTGTGCCTTCAATTTTGACATGTCATGTTCCATGGGTGCAGAGAGTGAAAGTGATTTTAACAACTGGCGTGTCAAAGATGACCAAAGGCAGAACATAAATGTAAACACAAAGTAAAAAATATCATATATACCTTTTTGTGTAACAATCATCATCACTCTGATTCCAAGCTCAGTCCCAGGGTAATTTGGATTCCAATCTCAGTCCCTGGGTAATTTGGATTCCAAGCTCAGTCCCAGGGTAATTTGGATTCCAAGCTCAATCCCAGGGTAACTTGGATTCCAAGCTCAGTCTCCGGGAAATTTGGACTCTAAGCTCAATCCCTGGGTAATTTGGATTCCAAGCTCATTCCCTGGGTAATTTGATGAAATAATTGTAAATACACTGTACAATATTTGTTTACCTCACTGAGTTCAGTCTTTTATAGTGAGAATCTACAGGATACAAGTTGATCTGGTGAGATGGATCAGGTATTTGATGTGGTGATTATAGGAGGGGGTGTGGTGGGCTGTTCCCAGGTGTTCACTCTAAGTAGACACGGCTACAAATGTCTGCTTCTGGAAAAGGAAGCGCACCTTGTGTCCATGGCCAGCTCTGGAAACAGGTGAAAAAATTTACCTGTTATTAACAAATCAAAAGTGGTCAATACATATCAATTAATATTGGTCCTGATAACTGAAAAAAACATCATCTTTTGTAGTAGATTTATAAAAAAATATATTGATATTTTTTTTTAATTTTTAACTTACTTTGCTTTAATGACTTCAATCTTCGGACATTTTTTTATTGTACAATGGGATATACTACACAATAGATTTTGTAATGTAAAATTACTTCTCTCTAACTGCTAAGCTCCATGTTACCATATAGACTGTAAATTTTGAGGATTCTGTCATTTTTCCTATTCCTGGAGATGAAATATTAGCTTAAAATACCTGTAGGTTAGCCTACACCTAGATTGATCACTAACCTTTCTCTTATTTCTATTGTACTGTGAGATGTTAGCCTACACCTAGATTGATCACTAACCTTTCTCTTATTTCTATTGTACTGTGGGATGTTAGCCTACACCTAGATTGATCACTAACCTTTCCCTTATTTCTATTATACAGTAGGATGTTAGCCTACACCTAGATTGATCACTAACCTTTCCCTTATTTCTATTATACAGTAGGATGTTAGCCTACACCTAGATTGATCACTAACCTTTCTCTTATTTCTATTATACAGTAGGGTGGTAGCCTACACCTAGATTTGTCACTAACCTTTCTATTATTTCTATTGTACTGTGAGATGTTAGCCTACACCTAGATTTGTCACTAACCTTCCTGTTTTTCTTATTGTGCAGTGGGATGCTACACACAGGGTTTGATGCTCCATTAGACAGTGTTGAACTTTCCTGTATACTCAAATGTCAGCAACAGATCCTACCTACCCTCAGTTCTCTTGGGCTTCCATACTCAAAAATAGGAGCAACTATGGTGGCCTGGAATACCCAACAGGTAAAATTCCATTTCCCCTGATTAGTGATTCAGAGAAATGCTTTCCAGTTAATATCTCCATGTTCTGGTTCAGTTACCAAAACAACAGTACCTTGGAATTGGCATTAGATGTTAGTGCCCATTTTGTCTGCAATGTATTGGGTTTTTAATAAAGTCTACTGCTTAGTCAATATTTAATCTTGAAGCTTAAATGTTCTGTGATCATACATATTTCAGCAGTAATCTTATTTGAGCACTTGTTGCATTGAAAGTATCATGTTAAGATACGATTGTTTCTGTGATAAACATGTTAACAGGTATGATTTAATTTGCTTTTGCCTTCAATGTTTACTTTTGTTTTTCATCAATATACCTTAGGCCAATTTCTTATGCTGGAGTTACATACTCTCTGACAGAATCTGATCAATGACATCAACCATTTTTGGTGAAAAAGGCTTGTAAGTTGAGCAAGTTATAGGTAAAGTTTTTCAGCAAGTCTTACGTCAGAATTCAATGGCATGTTAAAGTGAAAAGATGTGAGCAAGCTATATTGATGTATATTCCTATCAATAATCACTTTAAAAAAGTCCATGGTGTACACATTTCTAACGTCTTGTTTGTGAGATTTATGTTCGATCATTAAAATATTTCAGAAAGAGAAACTTCATCAAGTGATGCACAGGGCCAAAGAAGACGCTTGTGAAATATCCTTGTCACAACTCTACCAGAGGGAGCCACATTTAGCTTGTGGAGCTACTGGCGCCCTCTGGATACCATCAGAAGCTGTAATTGATCCATGGCTGACACCAATCAGTTTTGCACATCATGCAAAAACATTAGGTGCTAAGGTAAAATTTCTTAATTCAGAAGTAAGTATTTGGAGGATTTATTGAAAGACAACATCAAAATCAAACATCATTCCATATGTTTCAAATGGTTACAAAATGAAAACATCTGAAAATTGCAGATTTACAAAGGTTTGTTGACAATCTTCCCCTCAGAGAATTATCGGTATTATGATTATTACTGTTACAATCTTTACAGCCCGTTAACTCCTAAAATGTCATTAGGGCCGTCAAACGGTAAACACTAGAGTCTGCCATCAAATTCACAACAACGTTGTGTCTTACAGTACAAGTTTTCTTCCTAATTTGATATTACTTTGCAGGTGTCAACAAGTACAATGGTCCAGAGCTGCGAGCAAGACTCCCCAGGGATCTGGAGAATCTGTACCAACAGGGGTGTATTCTGTGGCCAAGTGGTCATCAACAGCGCAGGTCTGTATGGTGATGTAGTGGACAAACTGGCTGGAGTCCAAAAGTTCAGGTCAGTATACTGTTCCACTGATGGTTCATACTTCCAGTTTTAACAAAAGCTTGAAGCAAAAGGAATGTGTTTTTTCACAGAAGTCATTTAACAGTTTAATTTCCTTAAATAATTTAACGTTCATGGCATCTGTTGTTTAAAGTTTTATTTCAGCTTCAAAAAAGAGAACCAACAGAATCTCTTGAAAGTGATATTTACATTTCTTTCAATCTCATTATCTTTATCAGGCAAAAAATAAGATTATACAGAAGAATGCCAAATTTCGTTTACTTAATGGCTGTGACTTAGAGTGATTGTGTGTTTTAGAATTATGCCAAGGATGGGTCAGTACCTTGTTTACGGCTCTGAGACCAAGTCTCTCATCAACAGTAGTATACTGCCCATCCCTACTGACAAAACCAAAGGAGTCATTGTATTCAAGTCTGGTATGTGTAAAATAAATTCTCCCAATCCCTGTGTTTATATAAATCTTTCATTATTTTGTTTAAAATCAAGTCAGTATGTAAAAATAAATAAATAAATAAATAGTTTGACCCAAGTGTTGTAAAGTAGTCTTGTTACATACTTCATAATGTATATATATAAACAACAAATCAATATGACTGACTGAGAAGGAAAGACATTATCTCACTTAGTCACATTGGTCCAAAGTATTCTATCAATGAATCTCTACTGTGTAATGCATAACAAAGGACATATCTGACCTTTACTATATTGGGTTGAAGGACTTAAACAGGGTCAAAGGTCATAGAGGTGAAGATTATCACATCACAATTTGCTTACATCAGTTAATTTCTTATTGTAACTATCAATTTTAATCATTTTGTATGATAATGTCAAACAAAAAAAGCATCAAACAAGTTTATTCACAGCTGAGATATGTCTTGACAGTGAAGATAGAACAAAGCTCATATCAATGTCAGAAGAATGTGAAGTAAATTGTGTTTTACTTAAGGAGTTATGTTCTGTTATTTCTGTAACAGGAATACTGTGATATCGGTGAACCAGATCCTCTCCAGATAACCTATACATTGTAGGCTGTGATACATTCTGGTATATGTTATTTCTGTAACACAAATACTGTGATGTAGGTGAACCAGATCCTCTCCAGACAACCTATATATTGTAGGCTGTGATACATTCTGGTATATGTTATTTCTGTAACACAAGTACTGTGATGTAGGTGAACCAGATCCTCTCCAGACAACCTATATATTGTAGGCTGTGATACATTCTGGTATATGTTATTTCTGTAACACAAATACTATGATGTAGGTGAACCAGATCCTCTCCAGATAACCTATATATTGTAGGCTGTGATACATTCTGGTATATGTTATTTCTGTAACACAAATACTATGATGTAGGTGAACCAGATCCTCTCCAGATAACCTATATATTGTAGGCTGTGATACATTCTGGTATATGTTCTGTTTATTTTCAGTTTATAACAATGTGATAATTGGCCCTACACAAGAAGAGACTGAACAACGTACTATACCATTTGGCCTTTCTCAGCAAGTGGTGAACACCCTACTGAATCATGGACATGTCACTGTGCCTTCTCTAGGGTCATATCCTGTAATAACCACATACTCTGGTACACGCCCTGCTACAGAGACTAAGGACTACCATGTAGTTCCCCACACTGACAGGTATATACATAGTATCCTAACCCTCTCCTACCACTGAGTTAATACATGGTAACCTAACCCTCTCCTACTCCTGTGGTAATACATAGGTGTCCTAACCCTCTCATACCCTTACGGTACCCTAACCTTCTCCTACCCCTCAGGTAATACATGGTACTCTTACTCTCTGATACTCCTGTGGTACCCTAACCCTTTCCTATCCCTCAGGTAAAACATGGTACCCTTACTCTCTCATACTTCTATGGTACCCTAAACCTTGCTATGTTCCCTGTAACTAAACATCTTCCCATGTTAACAGTTTGACATTTGCATGTAAATATCAACTTGGTAATGATCAAATCCTCATTAAGCTATTAACCAGTATTTCTCCCAGAATATAGTGACAGTAGCTGGAAGCTCTATTAGCCAATTCTTCTTGTTCCATATCACCATTCTAATTATACAAAGAACATTAGTCTCCACCTTGTTGTAGGAACTGGCTGACACTGGGAGGTATTCGCTCCACAGGGTTGTCCTCCTGCTTGGGGGTCGCTGACATGGTTGCCAAGATTATGAAAGACAGATTCTGTCTGGAACCTACAAACAGTCCCAACATGCACCTTCCCAAGGTAGACATCTTCTTTACAAACCAAGGAACAGCTATGTTGGGATCCCAAGAATATACTGTTACACACCCTATCACCTACACTGGCAAGTTTGACAAGAAAGTCTGTGCCAATTTGTGACAGAATTGCATAAAAGCAAACAGTTGACAAGAAAATCTTGTGTACAAAACACATTTTGTTTACAGCGATATGTGTAGAAGGTAAAATTTTGAATGAAACAAGACATAACATTCTTTTGAAACTGTATTTTACCAATCCTCCATGATTTTATTTTTTTGCTTAAACCATTACGATAATTTATCATGTTGAATGGCAAATATAAGACTATATATGTTTTCATCAAATCATGAATGTCATCATTTTTATTAAGTCCCTATGGTATCAATGGAAGACAATGGTTTTTAATTTTATCAAAATGCTCATTCTGGTGATGTTATAACCAGAGGCCTATGGACCTTAACGGTCATCTGACTATAAAGACCTATATATGGAAGAGGCCAAATAGGCCTTAAAAAATTGCTCAACTACTCTACAGCTTACATGAAGACATTGTTGGTTCATCAAGACGTTTTCTGCAAACTTGAAATCATATTCTTTATACCTGCACTACACAATTGCCATTACTCCATACATATTGCTTGTCGAAAAAAACAAGCTATGGTCCCAATATCAAGACCTTTGGCCTTGCAGTTATTGAGAAGTTGCTTAAGAATTTCAACACATTTGACCCCTGTGCCCTTGAAAGTTGGTTCCATATCAGCACCCTGGGTCTTTTGGCTATCAAGAAAAAGTCATTTAAACATTCTACCACCTTTGATACCTATGACCTTGAAAGTAGGTCAATGTCATTCATATTAACAAAGTTGGTAGCCCTATATTCTAGCATGCTACAAGCCTAATAACATCATCTTGGGCCTTTTGGTTAATAAGAAGTCATTTAAAGATTTTCACATATTTGATCCCTGTGACCTTTCAAACAGATCAAGGTTATTCTTATTAACTAGGTGTTGAACTAACTTTCTGAATTTAAGAAATGATTCTTTTCTCTCAATGATGTTTCACACCAAACTTGGTTGAAATCTGTTCATGCATTAAGAAGGGGAGAGCATTTTGAAGCAAAATATTGTTTAAATCTCCTTTGTGGGCCATGCTCCTACCCCCAAGTCCTTTGGTGTTGAAATAACTTTCTAAATTGAGAAATGATTCTCCACTCTCAATGTTTCACACTGAATTTGGTTGAAATTCATTCTTGCATTAAGAAAGAGGTTCATTTTAAAGCAAAATATTGACTAATTTCCCCTTTTGTGGCTCTGCACTAAGTCTATTGGGGTCAAATTAAAATTCAGAATTTCAGAAATGCTTTTCCTTACCCAATGATGCATTAGGCCAAATTTTGTTGAAATCTACCAGGTATGAAAAGGAGTAGGGTTTTAAATAACAAGAGGCCTAGTGGCCTTGACAGTCACCTGAGATAAGCAATATTGAATATAAAGGTTAAAGGATATCAAGTGTCATGAAACAGAAATTGTGACACTGAATATAAACAGTGTCAATGCATGCATACCATCAAAACTGTCATTGTATACTAATAATTCTTATAAAGTTATTTCCAGTGGGAAATAACCAACATTATGCTCAAAAATACCATTATTGAAATTACAGTAAAGTCACAAATATTTTCTTCCCAAGGAAGAAATGCGAGACTCAGTTTGGAAATTAAAGTACCTTAAGATGCTTCCATTTAAGAAAACCATTTGATTCTACCATATCTTCAAGAAAACCATTTGATTCTACCATATCTTCAAGAAAACCATTTGATTCTACCATATCTGGGTCTTGAGAAGAACATTTTTGAAATTTAAGTCATTTTGGCCCTGCCCATCAAACCTGGGGGCCAGTCAGCATGATAGAATCGCTTTATTGTTGGGATACAGAAAGGCACTTGTAATTGAGAATACATTGGTTTTATAAATATTGTAAATACTTGAGGTGGTTGATCAGAAATCCAACAACACTCCTACCCTATCACTAAATATGAAGCCTAATGCAGTTGAGATAATCAAATAGATATAACTACTATCTGACAGTTCAGTGTAATATTGTCTTTATCTTTATTCCTGATTAATGAGATATATAGAAATGTTTTATCATGAGTTATAGAAATGTATATACTGTTTCTTTAAAATTTAACATTTATCACTGTCAGCGCTCTAGCAGCTTCATGTCTTAAGGAATTTTCAGCATGCTTATTACAGATCCTTGCATCTTGGATGAATGTGAAGTTTATAGTTCTTGTGTGAAGGTCAAGTCTGTTGGGCATTTATACTGTATCTCGATTCTGTTCCATTTTAAGGATTATAGGATCAAAGTCACCAAAACTATTTTAAAAATTCCTTGTCAGCACTCTAGCTGGATTCCTTTGGGGATTTTTATCAAACATCACATGATTACTAATTTTCTGCCTTTATTATTGCATATCACTTATAATTCAATTGTTTGGGATTTGTGTCGCATGCATTAGTTCAGTTTAAAACAAGAATATCACGATGTTCACATTTTATACTTTTATAGCTTGCCTATTTAAAGATAAGAATATACTTGACAAGGATGTTTCTATGGAGTCAAATATTTTTCTTTCTGGTTGGAATCTTTGAGTGATCTCTGAATGGAATGGCTATACTGTCCTAAAATAGTGTTTACAATTTGTGACATCTGTTGCGACCATCTGTTTCAATTCAGATTCACACTAATTATATACAGAAGAGTTAAATAAATCTATTCAAAACAAAAAATGTTTTTTTCTTTTATTTATAATCTGATAATGAAGTACATAATCATGACGACGCTTTACAAGCATAAAACAACAGTAAACAATGTTAATGATGAAAATTTCTTACACATAAGTAGTGTTTCTAGCATACAAGTGTTGTACCTTCAACACCTCAGGGACCATTGCACCACACTGTTAAAAAGCTGCCATTACAGACCCAGGAAACACTTTTTTACTAGCACAGAACATAACTTATCAGAAATTTTTATTTTCTATTTTGATGTTAATTTTCTTCTTTTTACCAAACCTCCTTGCTGGTAGCAAGTACAATGAATTGTAAATACCTCTCGGTACAGAGAGTTGAATTCCATGCAATACATCTCTCATACTGTTGATTTACTAAAATAAATACATGTATAAAATTCCTGATTCCAGAAGTCATGTGCAGTAAAGAAACTGATATCACTACTAAGATGTAAACTTTATCCTGAGGGGGAAACAGTGCTGGTTTTTTGTCAATCGCTATTTTTTCTCGGTAATGATATCCTAAATCTAATCCCTACTTAGACTGTATAGACACCCAGTCCACTGATCATCCATGTTGAATTTTCACACTGTTGAATTTTCACCCCCTCGAGACAGAATTACAAGAGAGTCCTCACAGTGCCATGGTCTACTGCTATCCAATCCAATTGATCATCAACCTCTTAGCAGTCACAATGAGTCAAGATTTGTAGTCTGTCTGATAGCCATGTGTAATTGGTAATTATTAACCTTAAACACACGATTTTAAAATCTAGAACCTCTTTCTCATATCCTTGAAAAGATCACCGTCTCCTCCGGTTGTCTCGGCGATTTCTGTATGGTGAGAAAACAGAATTAAAATATTAGTAAAGATGATTCATAAATCTCAAAGCTGGAAAATGTCTGAACCACATGAATGACTGCTTCTATCCCATTATTTTGGAACAACCTGATGTAAAGGATAGAACAAGTATACCAGATGTAAAGGATAGAACAAATATACCAGATGTAAAGGATAGAACAAGTATACCAGATGTAAAGGATAGAACAAGTATACCAGATGTAAAGGATAGAACAAGTATACCAGATGTAAAGGATAGAACAAGTATACCAGATGTAAAGGATAGAACAAGTATACCAGATGTAAAGGATAGAACAAGTATACCAGATGTAAAGGATAGAACAAGTATACCAGATGTAAAGGATAGAACAAGTATACCAGATATAAAGGATAGAACAAGTATGAGTAACACTATATCTGTAAATTTGTAAATTACTTTTTGGTGAATCCAGAATTCATTTACACCAACACCTTTTTTAGGACAATATAAGCTGACAGATATTCATATCAGTGATTTTATCCATTTTCAGTTGGAACAAAACACTATCACCTCTATAAATTGTAAAATTCTACATTTTTACAGGCTACTATATAGACAAGGTTGGACGTTAAAATTGGTTACAGCTACGATCAACTTTGGAGATGAACACAATACAACAGTACTCTGCCTATGTTTCTGTCTACTCACTTGTTCTTACGTGGCCCTCTCACAAAACACCAGTCCACATTGATTTTCTGACCTAGGATATCTGATCCATTGAGTGCATCCATAGCTCCCTGGGCTTCTTTAAATGTTTCATATTCTATCAGTGCATAACCCTAAAATAAAGTGGAGTCCATTTTTTATCTTATCATAAAAGCATGAGATCTCATTCTAAACAATGACCCCGGTAATTCTGTTCTTTATCAAGAAAATATTACTATCTAATTTTTGAAGAAAAAATATATTAATTTCTTACATCTATATTATATCTTAAGAATCATTCATTACTTCTGATTGATGGAGTCAACTCTATGTATATATCCAAAACAGTATAATTTTGTAAGCTCACCTCAGATTACCATGTAAAAAGTAATTAAGTACAACAGAATATATATTGTATAAGAACCAGAAAATGTGGGAAATACCTTAAGAAATCCTGTTCGTCTGTCAAGGTTGATGTGGAGATTCTTAATCTGACCATAGTCAGCAAATTTGTCCTGAAGGTCATCCTCCTGTGCTTCCTCATGAACACCAGTGACAAATAATATCCAGCCTTCCACAGCTGTTTAGGAGAAAATATTTTTTTATAATCAAAATACAAGGACCTCTCACGACACATACCAATTCCTCTAGAGAACCAAATAATCTCATTATTTAATCTTTCACACTCACTGATCATGATACACCAGTCACCACATTTATATGTTTACAAAACAATATTACCACGGGAAGCTCTAAAATGAAGGTGTTATCTTTCAGCTGTGTGATATGAACTGGTATGATGAGAACTTACATCTCTGTGGACCAGGACCACCATCTTCATCCACGTCCATCACCTCAAAATCCTCAACTCCACTTCTTGTAGGGCCATCTGCAAAATTATTCATAAATCAATCTTTAATATAACACAGACAAATACAAATGTATTTTGTTATTAACAGTTTATCAATTTGATTGCAACTATTCGGGCATGAAAAGTTTGGGTCAGTTTGTGGAACTTTATATCTAGTTGTAATTACTGTTAACCAACTTTTGTCTGCATGCAATTTACTTTTGTAATTTTTTAAATAATTATCCATGAATTATAACACCCATAATAATTACCCAATTTTCATGGGTAATATTTGATGCTTTATAAAAATGACTTTTTACCTATGTACAGTTTTTCAAGAATCTGTGTACAGTATATACAGTTATAACAATTTTCGTAAATCTTATGTTGAAAACCAGTGTCAAGGACAACAATTTATTCCCTTCAGTGTTAGATTTTGGGGAATTTGCATTTGGTTAATAAAACACTTCAGTGGGGTTTTGTAGCGGACTTCAGTGTCAAGGAGGACAATTTATTTCCTTCAGTGTTAGATTACGAGGAATTTGCATTTGGATGATAAAACACTTCAGTGGAAATCTGTAGCAGGTTTGTATTCCTTGAGTCACTTTATATGAAGCTATGCATGCAAGTTTAAGTGAAAAACCTTTAAATTGCTATCTAAACAAAAACAGACACCTAATGAATCACAAATTTAATGAGACTGGTATATTCCTGTGTATACTACCATATACTGTTGGTAAAGATGCTGAAAGTCATTCTGGTCTATGAACAGGTTGCAACTGACATGTATCTTTAATTAAGCTTACTTTTAATGGAAAAATTAATGATTAAATATGAAGATCCATGAACGATACCAAACATGTGAGGCAGTGTCAAGGAAGACATTGAGAAGAAATATCTTTGTAATGAGGGCAACGGGTAAACTCTTACATCCTACCTGCAGGGCAATTAAGCATCTGGTAACAAGGGAAACCTACATAAGCGTTTTGATAAATAAAAATTCAAAAACCACTGAAAAACCCAAGGTTATCTCCAATCAGCCATTTTGTTTTCTACAACAGACACAAAATTGAATGGGCACAACATGGGACAAAGGGGAACCGACACATTAAGTTTGAAATTTATCCTATCAGTTCTTCTGGAGAAATAGCAATAACAAATTTTGACTGTCAAAATTGTTTCACTGATCAGTCTTGAAATGAAAAAAGCACAACTAGGAACCACTGGAAATAAACACATCATGTTTGATAAATACTTTTCCAGTACTTCTTAAGAAATAGCGATAACAAACTTCAACTGTCACAATTAAAGATGGCCATCTGTTGGCTATTTTGTATCATTGATTGGACACATTGAATGGGCACATCTAATAACAGAGGGGAACCTACATATGAAGATTGAGAAATAACCTACCCTACCCCTTGTACTTCTATAGAAATAGCTGTTTAATACAAGACAACAGATGACAGACAAATGGACCACAGACTAAGGGTGAACAGCCCAGACCTGGCTGTTCAAAGCTTGGTTGGGGTTAACCAGTGGTTAGTGAAAATGTTCAAAAATAACTTCAACAAAACTGAGAACATTCTTTATCACTTGATCACTTCACAGATGTAGACTTGTGGTGAAAGGGCTGACGGATATATTGTAAATGTTAGATTTGCTTTGAAAGCTCATATTTTTATATACAAACCAATGGTAAAATCTTAAGTAAATATTAAGCAACTGGAACTTGATGGTGAGCTTAAATATAATTTGTCTTGAGACACTGAATAATTATGTTGTCACTTTATTAATATTGCTATTATATTTTTATCTGATCATAGTGTATACCTGAGCCAAATCCTCTTCCTTTTCGTTTCTTGGCTTTTTCTTTCAGCTTCTGCAAGCCCTCTAAATGTCAAAAGGAAAACATGAAATAAATGTTGACATTATGATAATGCACTTACTAGTAGCTATCATGCAAATACAGTGCAACTTTCCCAAACTGATCCTTCTCAAAACTGATCACCTCTTTAAATCGAACATCCTCTGTATACCCCAACATCAATCACTCTCTATATAATGGTCAACATTATGTAATAGAGCTGAAACAGATGTTTGAACATTCACAAATGAATACTTATTCCTAAATATTCAGATAGTGAAATACAAAAATGTTTAACAATACACACATTGAATAAAACGATACTGAATTCCAATACATTGAACAAGTATTCAAATACCAAAATCAGCCATTCATTTCCGCTCGAAAAAGCTTGAAAAAAAATGATATCATATAGTAATGTACAAAAGAAATATACTGGAGTTAAAACAATAACACATCAGGTCTATCAGGTAAGACAATATTTCGAAAAGTCAAGAAATTTCAGGCACTTCATACTAGTATACCTCATGCTTCAAAATGTATATATTCAACAATGCTTAAAAGTTGCTGGCCATATAGTTTGATATATGGATTACAAGAAGAGATTTTTTATCGTTTCTGGATAAAATCTCCTCATCTTTTGGCAAAGAAACATAGCTGTTTAGATTGTAAAAAATTTGAAAGGAGCACTGATCTGATACGACACAAAATTAGAGTTACTTTTTTCTTCAAATTTAAACGAGCATTTAACATCCCTTCTTAGTGCAAAGAAATGTATTCAATAATTATTGCAAAAATAAAAAGATATTGTAGCGCGTAACCATTTAAACAGGTATATGCATTGTTTAATGGCTGAAGCAACTTTCAATGGGCATGTTGGCGAGAAGGGAACAAGTGTGGAAGTCAAACATGCATTTGGACATTCTGGATTTGAAATCTGATATTGGATAAACATTTAATAGAAAGACTAGCCTGTAAGGGGGAGGTGTTTGGGTTCCAGGCTGGTGTACTGTTTGTGTATAACATAAAATTACAGCAATATAAAACCAAGTAGGCAATCAAGTAGACATACTAAAGAAAATAACAAAAATAAACAAAGCGACAGTTTTTGGTTGTATGAAGTACATGGCCTACCGGCGAATGGCCAAATTAGAGAATAATCTAAACTTTAATCAATAGTTCGAACTAAAAAGTTATCCAACGGAATGAATCATCCCTTCCCCCTAAAAATCTACCACAAAAACCCAATATTCTTACGATCGCCTTCCTCGTCAACCTCAAATTCATCTCCTCCTTCTTGCAAATCTAACACATCCGCCATCTTTGTTTGGGCCGCGTGTGTGACTAGCGTGGCGCCACAGGGGAAATAACTCCAATATATTTGTGACTTTTTCATCAGCTTTAAATAAATCACCAGACCTGTATAGCATCTCTTAACGAAATACATGCAAATCCACTTATTAGACTACACATATTAGAAAATGACATCAAGTCTGAATAATGAAGCGATACCTTATACTTTTACTATAGTAAACCAGCTTCATTATTCATACTTCTACGTGACTTGGGTGTATCATGTATATATTTATTGATTTACTACCTGCCATAACAATTGTTTATAAGATTAAATAAAGATATTTACGGGAAATTGAAAAAATTGCCGGAGACAGTTTTAGTCTAAGTCGATTTCTTATCCACAAGAGGTGACAAGACTAGTAAAATTTGGATACATTTGCATTATTTCGTGACACGAGAATTATTAGTCATTAAAACCTACAATATTTCAGTGTAGAAACAAATACATTAAGAGATGTGTGTTTAAAGGCTGTTGTATTTCGTCTAGCCCGACGTGCTTACTCATAACATTATAGATGATAATGATGGTGACGATGATGATGTCTGTTGCTGTTGGGCGACGACATTGATATCGACTAGGACGATGGTTAGATATGAAACCAGAAACGTATACGTCTCTGATGAAACGAAGTGTGAATGGATGTAAGTGTTGTTTTATGTCATTTTTTTAAAATCATCCAAAATCTCCAGAAAATTACAACTAATCAATCAATCAGTTAATCAATAAATCAACCAACTACATTTTAGATTCATTTTTACCTAATATTGACATATGCCCCAAAATGTCTCACAGTGTTATAAATACGTTGGGGTAGGTTCAAATACACCTAAAGCATGACCCAGGTCTCTGTGACTCGGATACCTAGCCGACCTTTGGAATACACCAGTGCAGTTCTCTCAAATATGATAACTTGCATGGTCTATGATATTCTGACTATGTAAAGTGTGAACATCACTGGTTAAAATGCGTATCCGCATTTCTAATTCAATTTTATCTTATTAAAATGTCATATTAGAAATGTTCCGTAACTTAATAACTTAACCACAAATAAGTTTTGAATTATCACTATATGGTGACAGAGACGTATACATCACGATTCATTTATATTATATATGTCTCTGTGATAAAACATTGTGTGATATGGTAACTGATTTTCAGAAAAAAATGTTTCCTACTTTAAACAATAAATTTGTCATATATTGATGCAATGGTAAATAGAACACCATAAAAACGTCACTGCCGGAAATACCACACCAGATGGACAAAATTGCACATGAATGTCAATAAATCAACACAGTGCATCACATACAGTAATAATGTCTGTTGATCCAAAATTATCGAGATTTAATTTACCTGTGTAACTGTACTCCAGTATTTAATATCTATTGATTTTATGATTAGTATGACAAACACAATAATGCGCAACAATATTGATACATCACAGCAACCGTTAACTCAAGTGTTGACCGTAAGCTGACGTAAGTTATACTTTATTAGGAATTACTTATCGGGTATATTTTACTATACCGAGACAGTATACAACAATGAGTCAATAAGAAATACATAACAGTAAGTTTTATTTCATTCTTACTGCCTTGCATTTTCTTCTTTCACCATACCGTTGGCGCCAAAAACAGTTCATCGTTTTACAACAATGTTTAACGATTTGGCGAGAAGTACACAATGGAATGAAATATGATAAATTACTATTATTAATATATGACAATAAATTTAAAGGATTACTTTATTGTTGCTGTACGTTCTATTAACAGCCAGGGTCACTTATGGACGTGTCAGGTTTTCCGGAGAAAAGACACCGACTTGTCCCCAATCCCTACCGTCCCACCCCCCTCCTCAACCCCCCTTGAAAATACAAAACCAAAAATATACAAAAATATCGAACTAATGAACTAAATCCATGTCAACAATAACATGTTCGTAACCTGCTGGCGGATGTTAAAGGAAGAACAATTCAGGTTTGGAAAAACAAAACAACAACAATAACACCAAAATAGTAATATTTTCGACATTGAATTTTCAGTAAAGGGATTGTAATTTTAAATAATTCTATTCACGCGCAATAAATCTCAATGTGGTCTACCCAACTTGGCAAATGGCCAATGGTAAAATCTTGAAGAATTATACATAACTCACCACCCCCTTAACAAGTGGACCCAACAACAGTGTACTCATGAACCTTGGAACTTTGATTGTGTAAGGCCTCTTATGTACCATTCGGGAGATATGTGAAAGTAACTGCCCTGAAAATTGCTCGAATAATTGGCCGAAAAAGCTAACTATCTACATTGAAAATACATCTACATATTGTTTACCTATTTACTAACATAATTTATTGGTTTATTTCTGTGTTGAAATCACTCTGACGTCACGCAGTGATAAGTAGTATGTATGACCTACCCACAGAAATATATATGTGATTAAGACACAACAAATGCCACCAAGAGTAGCAATGAAGGGACGACGGTTCGCTGTCAAAATTGTTGTTCTAGTTAACGAGTTACAATTTAGATATTGAATAATTATTACCCTCCCCCCCCCCAACAATTGAAGATCTGAAGTGGATATTGTAATGTCGAAGCCCGACCGTACGTCCGTCCGCATCGTCCTTTCAAGACAGCTTAAGTTCAGTTGGATAGGTGAAACACAAAGTTCATACACTGCTTCTTATTGGAAATGTTTGCTTGCGATTGATTTTTGGGTAAAGAGGTCAAACGTCAAAGGAACTGCTAAAGAAAATCATTACTATGAATAGACAATTGGTTTTCGTCCAATACTTCAAGTTCCTTTGACCAGTTTATACCGACATGGCCTGCACGGAATCGGTTTTTTATGTGAAAAGGCATCGACTTTGAAGAGGTTTTTTCTGAGTCACTGGAAAAGGTAAAGGTCACTGCTGCTTTAAATAGAACCTTTTTGTTCGCTTTATTACTTGGATGCCCTTGGGTTGACCCAACCTAACACATTACTTTCCTAATAAAGTATGCTTGTTATTTTTGCAACCTTGGTATATACTAAGCGGAATATACCGCTAGGCTAGAGAGACATGCTCTTTAGCTCGATCGGTTAAGCGTCAAGCTAGTGAGTCAGGGTCCCTAGTTCGAATCCTAGTGGAGACATTGAAATGAATAATGACGTATTACATTGGCGCCCATGTAGGGACTCGGAAATATACTTAGCATTGTCCCACATACATCGCTATAACCCCTGGAAACTCGAGGACAAACTATTTCCTGGAGGGGAAGTATAGAGTAATCCTGGTAAATGTTAGCCGCAATATATCGCTCAGCCACGGTGTACTCTTTAGCTCGATCGGTTGAGCTAGTGGTCCTGGGCTCGAATCCTAGTTGAAGCATTGAAATGCATAATGAATTTTGGAGCATTTTCATTGTTTTTTCATTTATAATGTTAGTTAAGGTCAAGGTCACTGTTTACACAGATAGAAAATTATCGTGACATCATTTTGACGTATCAACTCGAATTCCTCTAAACTAATCAATCTCCAAGATCACATAACATTCTCTTTACTATCAACCGTTCAGGGAATTAGTATCATTCAAGGATATGTATATTTAGTTTAAATCAAGCTTATAATGAAAAGGCATCACCATAAGCAGGGAATGTAAATCAGATAAGTAGAAATATTGTTATGGTATTTACGATCGTTATAACAGACATTTCTACACGAAAGCAAAATAATAATATGCGTTATTGAATAGCACAGCTTTTATGTGGGAGAGACGACTGCTTCGGAATGAAACCAAGTCCCAAAAATAGGTTTTAGGTTCGGACTTGTTTTAGTAAGGATGTGAAAATCATACTTGTCATTTTGATAACGTGATATTATTAGGTTTTGCTTTGAAATCTCTGGTGGCCGATATGTGCATATGTACGATAATTGTCGTCTTTTCGATCCGCCAAACGTTGTCTTTTAGCGACGACAGAACGAAATAATGAAAAATAAATTTTAGCTGATTCAAAAACATGGTAATCATCGTTATTAACGATAAATTTAATTCTGTTGTTCTCTGGGGTAATGACCGTTTTGTCATTCAGCGCTATTTCGTCAATCAAAGCGAAGGTTATCACATTTTCGTAGCCATAGAACGAAGAAGTTTATGGAGTAGAAGAGACCCTATATATATAGTTAAGATTTTATGGGATATCCTAGGCAGCGTAAAACTGTAGGTTTTATTGATTTGATGAGGAAAACTTCATTGTAATAAGTTCGATTCTGTGTGGTAGACATATTTCTATATCGAAATATGTGTGCGTTTTATGTAAAATACTGTCACAGCAGGCTTTTACATCAATCTGTGATATAATCCTTAAACATGTATGTTCCACCCATCATTCCAACCGTGTATCAGAAAAAACACAGCTGGAAAAGAATAAAAAAAAACCAGCGCACTTTAAATCTAACTTGTAACATGCTTTTTGCTTAAATAATTACGAGTGTTTTTTTGTAAGAGTATCGCATAATATGTTGTAAATACATCGGTAGTAGTTAATGTGTAGAAAGCAGTCAACTACGACAGTTTCTAAACACAACAGAATCACAGCGGCAAAAGGTAGAGGTGAGGTCATGATTATAAAATAGAGAATTATCGCGATAAACTAGGGACGTATATAATGGACCTTGTGTGCTAAATGCTGTTAAATGTTAAATAAACTGTATAAAAATTGAAATTGGATCTTTATAAAGAAAGGAAAAAATTGTTCGATTGAATTCTTCGGTTTAACGGTTTCATATAAACATTTTACTACAATAAAATTATAAGTAAAATCATGGATATAGATATAGATAGATCTTGTCTAAGTCGGCGATAAGGGGATGTAAACGTATCAGTTTGGAATCAAGGTATCTAAATTAATAAAATCAGACAACAATTTTTCACTTGTCCTAAGATTACAATTTACAGGTAACCTAGACCATGCTCATACATATTCT